AATGTGAAAAAGCCAGGAAAATTAGTAGATTGGTGTAGGAAAATACCCTGCTCGAGCGGTGTGTGAGCAAATCAATAGTCCCTTTTCATGGCGACAGAAAGAGAATTTAATCCTACTCTCTAAAAACAGACATGACATTAAAGTATCAGATGGACATAACAGTAAAGTTAAACAGAGAATATCAACCTGTTTTGACCAATGACTCACTCAACACCTGTGATCCTGCAACGAAATGATATACTGCTTGGATTTTCTGTTTATATTTCACTATTTTGTTACATTTAAACATTTAAAAAATGATTTGACAAGATTTATAACACTCTGGCATCCTTCAAAAACTGACAAACTTCAATGTGCAAGTTTGGGAGAATAACATTTAATTACCATCGCAAAGCTATAACTTGATAATTATAAAATCAATTATATTATAGTATTAATATTATAAAACCAAATATTTTTTCTCATCCTACATTTTTCACATAAATTCCCCTAAATATGAATCAAAGAGAGTTGGTGAGCCTTCGTCTTTCATTTTGTCATGTAGTCGCTTTCCAGTCATTCAATTTTCGATGTATTTGCACCAGATTTTGCATCTATGAAGTTGTATGTATGTTTTACCGTAGAATCTTGAAAACTAGCCTTTCTAATTCTCGCTCTGATAAACATTCCAAATAAACTGTACTTTTCTTACATACATGGTTACTTTTCTGTTATTGGAACAAGATTCAGGAATATATATATGTATGAATGGATGGATGTGTTAATTGCATGCATGTATCTATGTATGTTTATATACACACTCTGCTTCGATTTCCTGCCTGGGAGCAAACTGATAGTCACTATTCTGAATGCCCTTAGGGGATTAGACAAATATAGCTTATTAACCCTTTGATGGTTATGAACGAGTCCAGCTCGCAATCGAATCGTGCTTCATAATGCGCGCAAACGAGTTCCACTTGGGAGCAAGATTTTGACCGAAATGGTTAGTAACGAGCACTACTCGAGTAGAAATTTTTCCCCAATGCGCGCTGACTTCGTTCGCCATTATTATTCTGCACTGATTGTGTTTCAAATGAATGCTACTCGCGAAATTTAGTTAGTTTTACTGTCTACAGATGGCAGTACGAGTTCCATGAATTTTTTTGCATAATGAAGGTGGATTTTTTTTTACCTACAGTAAAATGGCTCAAAAGCGAAAGTTAGATAGTTATGATGATGATTATGATTGTGATACAGAAAGCTTATCAAGTTTTGAATCTGATGAAGACTTTGTTCACAGTATTTCAAGCTCAGAAGACGATTCAAGCGATGAGGAAGATTTTTCGAGTGTTCGACAGTGGTGTATAATTGATTCAAGTTCTCACGCTCCTAGCCGATTTAGCCGACACTAAAAGATTTTTAGGTAATTACTGTATTTATACTGTGCTTCATAAAGTTTTACATTAGTTGTTAATTTACTGTTTAATAATTATTTTAAAGTACGTAAAAACTGTTATTTATGTACTACAAATACTTTAAGAAATTTTTAAAACACGCGAGGTGAGCTATCTACGGCATCGCCAGAGAAAGGTGACATTTTCGGAAGAACGGCGGGGGAAAACAGCTGCCACTTTCGACTACTGTTTACTCCTAATGCTGCGCGAATTAAGCAAACGGAAACTGCTCATTTCCATAACCGTCAAAGGGTTAAAACCTATCAGGGCTAAATAAGCATATGCACTTAGCATATACACACTCAGACATGCAAACACACATACATTTCTAAATCTGGTTCCGATAATAGAAGTTATATATATATTCTTTTTATCATCTCGATTAACAGTTCTGACACCTACATCCAATATTTACACTAGGAAACATTCATTTGTTTCTTGCAAACTTCTCTAAAATGTACTGTTCTGGTAACATTCTGCCCTTTTGTCAACCTCAACAATTTTTTTCAGGTCCACCATTTTACCTTCCAGGTGTCTGATCAAAAACAAACTTCTTACATATAGTTGTTCCAATCAACCGTCGGTTTTCACCAATATTTAGCTGTACAATGCACCATTTGACAGAAGTTAGTTCGTGAGATTATGAAGCACAAAGTAGCAAGAAAATTAATTCTGGAACCATAAAAGCAATAATCGGCATGAGGATCTTTTTTAATACTAAATGCAATGCTTAATTATTAGATATGAACGTGCATATTTTTCTATTACTTATTGCTCATTTACTGCTTAATACAATTTTTGTGATAAACCAATTTATACCTTTATTACCATTGCTTTTAAATATGAGGTAGCTAGCATTAAAATATTTATATATATATACAGTCAAAAGTCGTTAATTCGGACACCCATAATTCGGAATGATCTATAATCCGGACTTCAAAACTAAAAACTTTCTGCGCATGTGTCAAAAGTCGTTAATTCGGACATCCATAATTCGGAATGATCTATAATCCGGACTTCAAAACTAAAAACTTTCTGCGCATGCGCCGCGTTGACACATGCGCATAGGCGTTTACGCGTGCGCGTACCTTTTACGACTGCGCATATGAGTGTGCACAAGTGCAGAATACGTTTTCGCGTGCGCGTTTTATGTATAATGGATGTATAAGCTAAAATTATCTAATTATCTATTTCAGTTAATGTTAATGATTGCGATGTTCCTTAATTTTCGAATTGGATCCGGCTTATTATTTTTTGCAGACTGTAAGAGCAATTTTATAAAAGTAAGCTTAAACTTTCGATTATATCAAATAGAATTTCCGATATATATTTGTTAATATGTAAAGGATCTAAAGCGAAAGTATGTTTTGAAATCCGAAATATGTTTATCAATTTCACGCTGCTCGGCGGGGGGGGGGGGGGGAATGCCGCAGCGAGCACATAATGAATTGGAAGTTGATCTGTCAGCATTATCCTTATCTTCAGCGCAGATGTTTTTATTTTATTTGGCTTATAATTCCTTACCAAATGTAGTATTTCATCTCGATATGCTCCGTCTTTGATATTATTTAAAACAAGTTCTTCGTCATTATAATTCGCTTCCGATAGCGAAGAAAAGTGACAGAGGTTATTGAAAACGAAAAAATTTCTAGTCGGTGTTCTTGACACAGCAATTATAGGACTTGAACAGCGGAACTTTGTAACTGAACAAGAAATTATGTCTGTTTAATAGAATTAAAGAGAAAGTATTATCACATGAAACGAAGCAAAACTTAAACAACTTACATTGAAAGAAATGTTTAATAAAGTAAACAAATAAATATTAAGCTTTTTCTTTTTGAAAATTTTGATACCCTTTATTAGATCATAATTGTTCTTTATTTCATAAATTACGGTTTCATATTTTTAATTTTAGAATTTCTGCATGCCATCTAACGAGATTTAAACTGATGATCTATAATCCGGAAAAATCGATAATCCGGAATCGCCGAAGTCCCGACGAGTCAGGATTGACTTTTGACTGTATATGAAATCATATTACGAGATTTGCAATTAATATTGCAGATCAAATAATATGCATATTTTACTTTAAAATATAGTTCCCTTTTTTTTTTTTTCTGAGAATACGACTTTTCTTTACACGTTTGCATTGCAGTTTCATTCAAAACTGAAACCATCTAAATACAGCAAATTATTTTTAAACTATACCAAACTGCCCTTTTAGCAAGCTGCCGATTTTTTGAAAACGTGCTAACTTCATCAGTAATCTGCAGTCGTTTTAATTCTCAAGATCTGAAGAATGCACATTGCTTTACTCTTCCGGAGGTTTTAAAATTATTTATCCTCAGTATACATACAGTCTATTGGATAAAGTTCAATATATTTATGTTTGTCAAAACATATGCATTTATAATTTTACTTTATATCACCAAACTTCATTTATATGATGCTTGTACATTAGTGCATGCGTCACATTTTAGTAAAATATCACATCCGTGTTTCATTTATTTACTTTTTATACTATCTTGACACCATGCATAACACTTTATCTAGTGAAGTCAGTTGTTTCGTGAATAAACACAAAAGATAAATACTAGAGATTTCATTTGCATCAGTATATTGTAAAGATACATAAAATATCTCTAATATTAAGAAATACCTTTATAAAGTATCTGTACTATTAACTGAAAATATGTCATAATAAGCATACTCAGAGAAGACGATTCATTGGAAATGAATTAAATTTGATAAATATGAAATATATCAATTTTAGAGGTATTCTTATAAGTAGCAGTTCATTAATTTGAAACAAGTTGCTTAACAATAGCACACTTTCAAAATACAATAAAATGAGCTTCGAGCTTCAATACAAAGGTCCACAAATGAGGAGGAGGGAGAGAATGAATAAAAGTTTTAAAACAGCTTTATATATGATATTCGGTAAAAGTTTACAATTGAGTGCCCCTCGTGTTTTGGGGATTCTTTTTTGACGTCAAGATCGGTGCCAGAAAGACACAATTTTAAGATGATTGCTACATAAAACCAAAATAAGAAGATGAATAATTGCACAAACTCGGTCTCCATGTACACATCGATTTATTTTAATTTTTAAAAAAAAATCAGAGAATTGTACAAACTAGGCATTGCGCACTGTCTTAACTTTGTCCATGCACACATCGATCTATTTTCACTTAAAAAAAAATCAGGAAGCTAAAACAGCTAAAGAATCTCTAGCACATGTGAAAGAAAAACATACTGATGAATGTACAGAATTAGGCTAAAGAATAACCATAGATTGGAACAGATTTTCAGTAAAATTCTGTTGATTTTGATTAAAAGTTTAAGGGCCTACTTCAATCAGACAAAATCAGTAGAATTTTAAATCAAATCTATGCAGGACGGTGATTTTTAAGGCTAATTTTACATCTACATGTATAAAGATACAGACTTCATTCAAAACTATCAAGAAGCAAAGTATATAATTACTTCATGAACAACAATGACTAGTAGTTACATTTGAAGTTAGCTTAAATTTGATTTAAATAAGAAGAGAATGAATGATTTTTATACTTTATCACACAACAATATTTATTGGGTTTTCAAAGTGCTTTTTGAAGCATTCCAAAAACTCACCAGCATCATCATCACTAATTACTCTATTATCAAAAGATAATGTGACACAAATTCTTGGCACAATATCTTCTACATCTAGTGTATTTCGAATTGTTCCAACAGCTAAAATAGCTCCTTGAGGAGGATTAATAACTGCACTAAACTCCGAAATTCCAAACATACCCAGGTTAGAAATTGTAAATGAGCCCCCTTGGTATTCTTCTGGCATCAATTTTCCAGCTTTAGCTTTTGCTGCAAAAGCTCTTACTTGCTCAGATATATGTTGAATACTCAATAAATTGGCATTCCTTATTACAGGAGTTATAAGTCCATTTTCAGTAGCAACTGCTACAGATATATCAACAGACTGCATATATCTAACCTGGTCATTTATAAATTGGACATTAACTTTTGGTATTTTACTTAAAGCTATAGCAGCACTTTTTATCACAAAATCATTAACAGTCACATTTATATTATCTTTCTTAAAAATCTTTCTGTAATCTAAAACTTTACTAACATTACAGTCAATGTTTATATAAGCATGTGGTATAGTAGTTTTTGATTCTGTTAATCGCTTTGCTATAGTTTTCCTCATAGATGTAAGAGGAATATCAATATAAGCCCCCTTTTCAATGAATGTGACATCAGGTATTTTACTCACTTCTGATTTTTCAGGTGCAAGGTCTCCACGCTTGAGTTTATTTATTTTAATAAAATTCAACACATCACCTTTTAGAAGCATACCATGAGGGCCAGAAGGAGGAACCAAAGAATATTCAACCCCATATTCTTGTAAAAGCTTTTTCACAGCAGGCCCGATAGGTTTCTGCCTTTCAGCAACTGAAGATTTAAGAGGTATGGCTGTCAGATGCACATCTGGTTTTTCAGCAGCTGCTGCATGTGTAGTAATACTTTTAACTTTGTAATCCTTGAAATCTTCAAGATTTCCTTCACTACCAATGACAGCAATCACTTCACCTAACTGAATATTTTTTGAATCTTCAGGTACTAATATCTTGACTAGAATTCCTTCTTCTTCAGTCTCCAAACCCACAACTGCTTTATCAGTTTGAATCTCACACAGAACATCACCAGGTGACACAGTATCGCCTTCTTTCTTTAACCACTTAACTATAGTTCCTTCAGTCATAGTAGGAGATAAAGCTGGCATTTTGATTTCTATAGCATTAACTTCTAAACATACTTTTGAACGATGTAAATATGCGAAATGAGGATTCTTGTGCACAAGGGATTTGGAAAGCAAGGAGCGGGTACAATGTACACCAAACCGTGCTAATTGTCTAAGAGAAGACATTTTAATTCTGCGTATCAGTGCTTGGTATTCACATACTAATGTACCATAAGTTACAGATGATATTAAATAAGTATAATCAACACTGGGATCCAAACATTTGAATTTCTTTCCACTTTCAAAAAATTAGTTAAAAGGGTGACCTCTCGTGTTATCTGTTGCCACATCTGTCAACTTTATATATTAATTTCACCCATACTTTTTTTTTTCTTCAAATTTATGAATTCCTCAAAATACTCGATGAAATAAGTCGAAAAATACCACAAATTAAAAAATAAAAGTCAAAATCGAAGTAAATGCTCTTCGCTACTTGGATGCTTGTATTTAATGTATGACCGCTCGCGCATCAGAAATGCCTTTTGCACGAAATAAAGTCAAAGAATAATTCTTTGATAAAGTAACGTAACTTCGAAATAACATGAAGTAAATCTTCTTGCAAATCGAAAGGAATTAAAGATCCATAAAATATAAAAATGCTTCTGACATCTGAACTTATTTTGAGCCACCTTCTGGTTATTTTTAGCTCCAGACGATTCCAAAAAACATTACAGCTGTTACATGCTTGTGAAAATAAAGTAGCAAATGCAGCATTTTAATAAGTAAATGAATCTTGCCATCAACTTTTATTGAAAGGAAGATACTTGTATAGGAGTTTACTTACACTGAAAAATGTTTATTCTAAGTTTATTATTTCAATGTCATATTTTCTTCGACATACAGTTTTATATTTGATTTCTGGAATGTATTGTTTATGTGCAAAAGAGGTAGGCAAAAAAGCAAAGGGAACTAGACTTGCGAAACCTTTACAATGACTTTACTCCATTTGTCAGCTATTTTTGTTTGATAGCCAATGTCGGATTGAAGTTGCTGTCAAGTGTCAATTACTTTATTTTGTTTCTGAGTCATTGTATTGTTTAAGATTTTTATATTTAAGCAGCATCCACATACTTATTCTCTTGAATCAAACACACTGGCGACATAACATTATACGATTTGGTAGCAGCTATTGGAAACGCTCCCGTGTAAGCGATCATTCAGGGCGAATAGTGGGACATTTGCTGTTTGGAAACGAATATCTAGATAGGACGGTTTGACTGTTAAATTCGGCGAGTTAAAAACTTATTATAGTTAATCATTTCTCATAGTATCAGCACATCAGTAGTTCAGATGACTAAATTCATAGGAATGGTTCCGTTTCATAAATTGTTATCAGAGCACAATCCGCATAATGATATTTGCTCTATGGATTCTAAAACCTACTGTATATACAGTAAAGATTTTGAAACTGGTAAATTATCATCGGTCATTACCTGAATTTGTCATTTCAATGTATTATTTTCTACCAAACAAAAAAGTTTAGCAAAATGTGCTCATACTCGAACTCAAAATTCAAATTACAGTTTTTAGCATCACCGTATGGAATGCTTACCAAAGTGTTTTTGTAAGCACAGCTACTTTTAAACTAGGTGTATTAAATGTAGCAAGCTGTTTCAATGACGGCTCCCACACTCAAACTAAACAGTTAAAATATTAGGAACTGAATGAGGGAATTATAAGGAATATTAATTCAGAATGGTCGATCATGTTAGAGTTCGTAAAACCGCTTTAAGTTGCCAAAAGCCTTTTTAATCAGATAATTTAATAAAAAGATGAAATTTTAAAACTGAACAGTTATGACACACATGTTGAATGAAATTAATTACGGTGCTGACGATTTTAATGTAATATATTTTCAGTCATAATTGAATTTATATCTATATATATATAGTCATTTTATTTTTAAAGTATTTTTAAAATTTTTTATAGACAAATTTTTCTGTAAACCTCAACGAAGAGGGAGCTGAGATCGCGGACGCTCTGACAGATTTTTATTTCTGGACTTGTTGCATTTGTTTACATTCACGCTGTGAAATTTTTCGTGTTTTAATTTTTTGTCTTATTCTCCCAAATATAAAAAAAATGCATTAGATAAAATCCAGTCACAGTTTTCTGGCTGTGGGCTGTAACACGAGCAAATAAACATCTATTTTCGCAGAGATCTTGCACGTAGGCGCATATGGGAAGCTGCTGTTTATAGACAAAACTGGAGTGCAAAAAATTAATCTACTCTTGCATTACTAATCTTTTATTATAGGTAAAATTTATTAGTATTTAATGTCATTCTAATTGATATATAAATATATATCACAGGAATCTGTGACAAAAATATAAAGAATGTATCAGTAGTATTTGGCCATGTGTTATTTCAAATTCAATCAATAAAAAGTAAAACATAAGAAAGTGCTCCGTGGTTCTTTTGCCCGGGACACTAGGCAAAACTGCTCTTTATGCTAATCCTTCAACAGACATTAATGCAAATGATCAATATATCTTTGCATAAAAAAATGTTTTAATGGGAGCGGAAACATACGTATGGTTAACGGATACATAGAACGTCTAAATGAAATTTTAAAATCCATCACATGCGTGTTAGTCCTTTAGCGATGTTGAACCATCTGGCCCGTTAGTTCAGAGTTTAACATAATAACGTCACAGAGGAGGCGTCTTGATTCCCAACAGGCCATGCTTTGGCAACGATTTTCGATTTGAGCTTATCTTATTATCTCCGGGAAACTAATGATTTATTACGTTGTAGAAATTCATTTGTAAGATGGAATTTTTTTCAATTTATTTTAGCATATAGAGATTTTTGAATGAATTAAAATCTTGTAAAGCTTTACTTTCATGGGTCCAGATTTTGTAGACAATATTATTTAGCAAAGCTTTTTTCGCCATTATTTTCGTTTATTTTTGAAATTGAAATGATTTTCAGTACATTGATTAAAATTTATTTCACATTTGTTAAATATATTTTAACTGTTACTTTTATTTATTAACCTTCACATATTAGTATCAGTATTGTTTAGACATCTTTTAATCACTAATTAACTTAATGTCTTTTATGAAAATTGAACATAGAAAAACACAGGAAAGAATTAGTACATGAAATATCAAAACAGAAGCTATTTATTATTCTATTTTCATTACTATATAAAATTGTGGTACTTACGTAGTATCGTACCCATGCCAATCTTCGGGATAACTCGCTAAATTTGCAACCCCGATTTCGCACGTATCTTAGGCGCTGAATTGGTAACTATGTGCTTCATTTCATATTTTCTACTTGCCGCCTTTTTGAGCCTAACCGTTCGTTGATATGGTAAGCTCAAATACTAAAATATTAATTTGGGATTTGCCGGATTCTGAAGAAAATGCCATTACATTTTTACAAAAATATATTATTTTACCTGATGTTAGAGAATGTACCAGCTCTCATCCAATGAAGCTTTATTTTGGAAAAACAGAGTTTCTGGAAATGAAATGTTGCAACTTGCAATCAACACGCAGGAATAAGAGCTGGTAATATGTTTGAGGGTAACCGTATCCCGTTCAAAACAGCAGTAAGATTCATTTATTGCTGGTGCAAAGAACAGTCAAATTTTGTCAGGAAGAGCTTAATTTTTTTGAAAATAAATTAAGCATTTGAGAATAAGAAGATGGTTTTTCAAACTCAGTTCTGGTAACGATAGAAATGCTGTCTACCCAAACTGTGGTAGAACTATACAGCTTGTGCAGGGACTATACAATTAATGGTCAAATTCTGGTTTCCCACCCATTTTCTCCTGTCCTGTTCTGTATTTTTGGAATACACATAGATGTTGGAACTTTACTGGCAAAAGTTGCATTTCTTTCCAAAACATTCTAAAAATCTTAGAGCGACAGAATGCTCCATTGAAACAGCAAAACAGAACAGGTGTTGCTGCAAATACACTAAGACTTTCATGTCACTGGTACGTTTTGCATATAGTACAAATGTCTACACTGAAAAATAGCTTATGCTATTGGGTGTAGCCCTGAGTCTGCAGCCCCTTTTAGAATAAATAAAAAAACTAACATATTATAGTAATTTAATTATCTAAAACGATACACGCAAAAAAGACTAAAACTCTTATAGTTATTTTATAGCTCCGACTTTATATTCCAATATTCTTATTTTTTATTTTTATATATTTATTTCATAAGGTATTTTCTCCCTCCTTTCTGCATGCCTTCGTGGTGTAACGGTAGCATACTTGGCGCGTATTCGCGTTCCAGTCCCGGCGAGGGGACTGCACATTTTTCATGTCTCCTGTTTCCAAATAATCTAATGACTACAGTGGCGCCCGAACTAAAAAGATGGTGAATGATGATTCGTCACCACCAGGATGTGGCGATAGAGTCTCGTGGTCAGCAACATAAACAGTAACATCCTCCCCCTCGATGAACTCTTGATTCATCAAAGGTTTGGATTGTGAAGTTATCTTAAAACTAAATGTTTTTAATGTTCAACAAGTTTAAATGTTCATAGATGCAGTGTTTGCAATTTAAATTCACTGTATTCAGTTCAAAGAGTTCAGGTCATTTCTAACGGGTACAATAACTGCACAGGACGACGAAGATGATTTCCATTAGCTAAACGGATAGTACAAGCCCTTATTTTTCCATCTCGTCCTGGACGACCCCCATCTTCCCATCTGCTACAATTTATGATCTTTTTTCTTATTTTTATTTTCTTATTCTTATTTTTTACATTTAACAACATTTGATAAGTGATTTTTTGCTTACCTTTCTTGAGGATATCCACAGGAACGCTTGGAATTCTTTTCCATTTTGGTTTTTACACAGAAATTTTATTTACAGTTATTTGCAGCAATTGTATGCTTACAGAAGAACGTTCATCAAGTTTCTTGTTGACACTGCATTTTTATCAAAGTCCGCAACGCGGTAAAACAATATAACGACCATAAAAATAAAAAAGCCACGCGCTCTCGTGGTCAGTAACATAAACTGTAACATCTCGTAATCCCCAATCGCCCTTTAAAAGGGGGAGTATTTTCTTCCTCCTTTCTGCATGCTTTCGTGGTGTAACTGTAGCATGCTTGGCGCGTATTCAAGAGGTTCAGGTTCGAGTCCCGTTGAGAGCATTGCAAATTTTTCATTCCTCAGGTTATCAAATAACCTAATGACTCTACAGTTATTTTTGGTTTACTAAATTGTCGATGGCATTATAGAAGTCTGTTTCGTCATTCCTTCATTATAGTTGCTATTTCAGATAGAAACTTCACTTTCTGCTTCATTCAAGGTGAGATACAAATTCATATGTCTTATTCTCTCGTGTTTTTTTTTTTTTTTTTTTATTGTTATTACTTTAAAGGAAGAAAGTCTATATCTGATAGTAATTGTGCCTTGACACTAAAAATTCATAAACAGAACTAGATATAGTATGAAAGCAGCAGTAATGGTTATTCTTCTAGTGTACTTAAAATATTTAATTATTATTAGAAATTTATTGAACTCTTCTATATGAAAAAGAATTCGAAGAGCTTCAGTCTAAGGAAAGGAATATAGATAAATGAATATCATAAAATATTGCAATTAGGAATTTTAACGCAATTTTCCGTCATAAAGGTATAATGAAATGGTACGCCATTAGTAAATAATTATTCTAAAATTTTACAATTATAGCTTTCAATATTATTTATATTTTATAGTTCAGTTTCGTGTTATTTTATAAACAAACAATATTCTCTATAATTTTTCTATCTGAAATTTGAATTGATGGGCACAGAATTTCAATCTAAAGGTAACATCATAATCCCTTCTTATCTACTTATCTGTAAGAATGCATTTTTTTCAATTTACTACTTATTTTTAGCCCAAACAGGCGCTAGCCTAGAAGGGCTATTAATTCAAAACGGCATTTTGCGTTGAATGTCTAAAGGCATTGTATGACTTTTCAAATTGTTGCCACCAACATCGCCCTGTATTATATTTAAAGAAATTTAATATGAAGCATCTGAAGGAATATATGTATGTTTCTTTCATTATGAAAAAACAGCGGTACCTAGAGCCAGAAAATTTTGAATAACCTAATCCTCCATTCGATCATGGGCACCTGGAAGCTCAAATTTTGAATTTGTTTTATTATCTATTTCATATTCTTTAAAATTTCAACGAATTTTTTATTTACAAACTCAATGGTTTCAAAGCGAGCAATGGCAAAACTGTACAGAAAAAACATTTTTAGCTCCAGCCGGCGAGACTGTCTGCCGGAAAATCTAAAGATGTGCTGTTTTTAAGTATTTTGTGATATTGCTGTTGATATGAATTTTATGCGATTTAAGTGCGAGGAACATGATATTTAACAAATAAAGATAGCACACGAAACGTTGAAACAAACATCCCTTTGGGCGTAATATAAAATCTGAAAGCTTTCATATATATATATATATATTTTAATTCTATAGATAATCTTAAATTGAAAAATTCCAGAATTTCAAATTATTGTGAATTTGTGGACTTGTACGTGTTTCTAAGAAAGAAGAAGGAACGGAAGAAGAATCATGGTTCCATTTCCCTAATGTATAAACATGACTACCTGTAACAGGAAGATGTTATGATATTTATTTTTTGATGTGCTTAATTTTTTATTCTTGACATGTTTACATTGCGTTTACATGACATGTTGCGAAAATTCATTGAAAAATTGAAAAAAAATTCATTGAAACCAAAAAACTCATCTTTTACCTTTTAGCAATGAAAGAAACAAGATTTCTGAGTAGAAAACTTACAAGCGGTCTGATGCTGATAAAGAGAGTACCAAGCAACGAATTTTCCTTTTGAGCACAGACTACAAAGAAAATTTTTCCCTTTAACCTCTATGGATCTGAGGAACTTTTGGTACATAAAAGGTAACATACTATCTGTGAGACTGTTTTTTAAAAAATTACTAAAAGAAGGAGCACCAGCAAAATTTGTTATGAACCCCATGGCCATGAACTGATCCATTAATCATTTTCTATTGAAACAATAATTGGTATTAATAATAGCATAGCAAAAGAGGATATAAGCACACTAAACATAAAAACTGATAAAACCGGGCTAGCTAAATAGACAGCATTACAATACAAATCTGATACAAATATTAAATATATCGTAATTACTTTTCAATTTTTTAACTATTTAGAGGAAGTTAAAAATCACCGTACTTTAATTAGCAGGCTAAGAGAATAAGTAAAGGGAACGGTAACAGTATTAAAGCAGACATATCCATTTGAACTGATTCAACCAAACTTTTAATTGCCCACTTGCAAAGAGTTTTCGGTACCTTTATGTAGTTTATCGTTGACGGTCAGACTATCCCTCCATTTTTGCCCCTGATACTGTTCACATAACTAAATTCAAAAGACTGAAGTTTTTACATTACTACTTCTAAAAAAAAAAAAGCACTTTTTTAAGTAACATGAATTGTACAAAACTTACTAGGTGTACAGCAAATATTTATTGCCATTTTCTGAGATATTTAGTTTAAGGATTACATAACTAAAAATAAAGTACGAGTATCTAACGCATCGCATTTTACATTGCATTTAGAAATTTACAATCACAGAAGAAGTATACATATTTTGTACAATTTTGTTCCAGTTTTCAGTTACAAAAATTCTCGACGAATTTCCTTAATTTTCATAATATTCAGCATCTGTACTTACGTACGTCAGATTCTGACAATTCTTCCTTGAATAAAATGCGCTTGCCAGATTCAGAATTGCTGGATGAATTCAACTTATCATTGCGTTCCATTGTTACAGATGGAGGCTTGCTGCTTTTATCGTCTGGAGGCTTTGAAGCCTCACTATTGCTACTCGATGCAAGCATTGAAGGATTGCTGCTGGTAATGGCTGAAAGCTTCGGAGGCTTGCTGCTGGTAGATAATGGAGACTCGCTGACTGCTCCAAAATATTTTGTAATAATTTTTTCATGCAACTCCTCGAACATAGCTGGAGTTGATTCTGTACTGATATTATTTCGACCTGCAAAATAAGATATCAACAGCTATAAATACGCGAAATAATAAAATATATTAAAAAATTTTAAATTATAAAACTTAAGTTAAATATCCTAAATAATAATAATAAAAAAAAAACTTTCTTTCTTTCTAACCCCCTTAGGTACCGTAATATTTTTTGAGATATGTGACTGAAACTAAATGCAGGAAGCTTCTAAACCCGATGAACTTTAAATCAAAATTGTGAACAAGAAATTTAAAGGAAATCAAAATTGTGAACAAGAAATTTACAGGAAATCAATGCAATCGTACTTATATATGCCATATTTATACAATCAATTTTATCTTAACTTAAAATTTTGCTGTCTCAATGCAATTCTTTTTATTTTTAATCACATATGCCAAGAATATCTTGATAGTCACATACTTATTTTTAAATTATATGTAATGAAAGCAGTTTGACATAGAAAAGCTTCTTCCATATACTTTATTTTGTAATCTTTTAGCAAATTGGGGCAAAATAATATAGAAAGAAAATCATTTCAGTATATAGGAAAATCTTTTGCTCTTATCAGCGATGGAATACACGTGGCATCTTGTTAAAGAGTTTTGACGTACCTAATGGCGCCGGATAACGTGCAATTAAATTAAATTTCGGTTTGACCGAAAAATCGAACCCCCTTATCATTTAAAATTATAGGGCTGCTAAAAATATTGTGAAATAGAAGTGAAATATTGTTAACAACTGCACTGATATTTAATAAATTTTTAACTCGAACAATTTTTGAAATATCTCCTAAATTTGGTGGATTAATTAATTAGAAACTCTGAAATGACTTCATTTAGAAAATTATGTTTTGATCTATCCATTCAATCTCAGTACAAAGATTGAGATTCTACAAAGCGATTGCTAAGCAAAGATTCTGAAGACACTAGGTTTGTCGAAGCAGAAAGTATGAAAAATGTGTAGTGCTCTCGTTGGGATTCGAACTCCGAAGCTGCGAGGCTAGCCGGATGTGTTTTCCAGTTATTTCAGCAAGCCATGCAGTGAAGAAAGATTAAAAAACTCTACGTTCTTCCCACTTATAGAGCGACTGTGGAAGCTGGGTCCAATCCCCAACCTCGGTGGCGACAAATTGTCGTCCGTCACCTACCACTTTTTAATTTGGAAGCCAAAGGTAGAATTAAAAATTTTTCGAAGCCAGTAAACAGAAGAAATCAGAGCCGCCTTCGCCGGGGTTAGAACTCCGAATCTTTGAATTGTTAACTGTACGCCCTTTCCATTTACACCACAAAGGCACGTGATAAGGAGAGTGAAGGCTTGGTCTAGTGGTTACTTTGCAATCTTTGAACTTGAAATTCTTTGATCCTTACAGACAAACCCTACAATAAATGTACGATGAATTCGAAATCAAATATATAAATAATAAACTTCTATTCGAATTTTGAAAATTTTCAAACAAATCAAAAAGAAAAAGGAGAAAGGGTTCAAAAATTATTTTCAACTTTTCAACCAAACTTTCAAGCAACTAACCAACGAACAAACATAGAAAAATTTTAATAAAACCTTGTAGTAAGGCCTATTTCTTAACCCTTTAACTGTCAAGTTATTTTGATGATTTGGGTACACAAATTGTCAAATTTTTTTATTGCAAAAACCAAATGTTTAGTACAAAATAAAATATACTTAAGTAGTTAAAAATTGATATTTTGACGTACATGGGTAAAATTTTTAAAGTTTTGTAGCCACTGCATATTTGCTTTGAGGCGGCTGCCAACTCAACATCGCAGTTGCAAAGTTCGCTTCTAGTGGAGCATTATTTTCTAAAAATGAAAAAAATTAATTATTTTCTAAAACATAAATAAATATAAGTGAATACCTATTAGTAGTTCAGTAATTCAGTCTTGTGTGGTACAACTGGAAACACTTTTCCAAGCACAAACCAACTCCACAATCACTACACCAGAATCGTGATTCCTTCCTTATCTTTTCCCCATTTTTATCCTTTTTCGAACAACACACTTTGCACTGTCTTGTAGGCTCATGGCTCATGTTTCGCAGGAGTAAGAGGAAAATGGGATATAAAATGTCGTTCAGTAAGACGGGCAGAGTTATCTATTGTAGGTGGTCTGCCAACATTCTTTTGTTCAGAAGCTGCATCATCATATTTATGTAAAAGCTCTTCTACAACTTGGATTCGAAATTCTAAAAATGAAATACGTTTCCCAACTACATTTTTATAGAGCAAATATGAGTTCCAGAGTACCTTGTCTAGTAAATGTAAAAATATCTTTTTTATAATATTTTTTTCTGACGTTTTCGGATTGTTGGATGAAAGGATATTTCCTGATCACAGCGATCTACACCACCCATAGCTAGACCGTAATTAGAAACAATCTTCGGCTTGAGTATATCTTCATTTTTTATTTGTTTTTTATTTTTGAGGCTGACCATGGAAGTATCATGAATACTGCTCATCAAACACACATCCTTCACCTTCGGGTTGAAGAATCTAAATCATCTATATAACGATTTCAAAGAACTGGAAGATGCCTATTTTACAACAAAAAGACCCCATGCACTTTGAACCAAAGCACTTAAACCTCTAACCTTTGAAATCTTCAGTTAAAGTGCTGTCATCTATTGAACTGAGCACACATTAACTTTTCCCGACGGGATACAGACGGGTTTGACAAAGAGATGAAGCCGAAAATAAAACGTCTCCCGATATATATTCGGGTATAACAATACGATGCACTCAAAAAAAAAAAAAAAAAAAAAAAAAAAAAATTAAAAAAATTACCCCGAATAATACTCGGGCGTGACATTTTCGAACACCAGTGCTGTACCCGAGATTATCTCGGGCATGACAGTTAAAAGGTTAATTAAGAAGAAGGGTTTTCCAGATTCCTATTTGAATAGACCTATTCATGTATTTCGTCAAATAAGATTTCTGGAAGACTCGTTATTTTAAGCGAGTTCGAGTGGAATTGAGCCGAAATTTAGATACAAAAATTCTCAGCAACCAACTTTTCAGCAGATAGACATTTTACTATGTAACTATAACACGATATAAATACTAACTGTATTGTATTGTTTAATATCAGATATTAAAATAAATTTTTAATGAAAGTAATCTATTCAAAAGAATATGATCTTGAGAACAAATTAACATTAGCAAATACGGTAGACACTCTATTACCCATCACTCTTTCAACTATCAGTTTCTATTATCTGTTCACCACTCAGTTCTTCGGCAAACAGAATGAATCAACCGAAAAATAAAGAAAGTGAGGCTATATTATAGCATAAATTATGATTATTTTGTCATCGTATTCAGAACGAAAAGCTAAAATATTTTTTAAAGAAAACAAGGATACACGCCTATTGTTAAATAAAACTACACAAAAATGTTCACGATAAATTCTTCTGCAAAATCGGTGATTGCAGAATATATTCTTTATGACTTTACTAGGCGTTATTTAACGTTTAGGATGTAAAACGTTTAATAAAGAAAATTCTATTCTTATTTACTTGCCTGAAATTAATGTCATGATACATATTAGTATTTTATATTATCTAGGTTTTGGCCACTGAAGAACGATAAGAAATAACAATACCACATTTTATTTTTGAAATAAATTGAAGATTAAAACACAATGGGGGGAATGGTATTTGGTATTATTGTGACTGACGGCTGTTTTTAATTTATTGTAACATTATATTATATTTTTATTGTGCATAATAATGCTCAAGCTAAGGATCAATAATGCCACCAAATTTCAATTCTTGTTGATCTTTTTTTTTTCCATACTACTGAAAATACTGTTGTAAAAACATATCTTCTTTATCGACTGCTTATATCTGGCGGTGAAGTGAGAAGAATTTCTTTTATTGTTTTCTTCTGTTATCCATGGCGATGACGATTTCGAATAGTACGACGGATAAGGGATGATGGTCGTTTCACTGAAAATGTATTCATTCAAAAGAAAAAAGTCATTGATTTCCCTTTCAAAGTAAATTTGTGTTGAAGATTAATAACAATAGAATAAAATAAGTTTTATTTTAAGAAATCATTTAAATGCCCAGATATATAATACTTTAAATAGTCTAAAATCTATGCCAATGAAAAAGTTCGCAGAAACGAAAAATATTCAAACATTAAATATATGCTGAGTTTTAGAAAATACATAATATAACCAGAACTTGTCCACGTTTTCAATTCACGTTTTAGTAATTTTTTAGTTTCTCAAAGGGATTTGAGTCCGAAGGACTATTATTTTCGTTTTGGCATTTTGCGTCGGACTCCTATAAATGTCGGTTCACTTTTCAAACTGTTGCCACAAAATGTTAGAGTCCTGCATTATATTTGAAGAAGTTATATAATGAAAAATCTGCATAAATGTATGTATTTCTCGCATTGTAATAAAACAATGGTATCTAGAGCCATCTAATTTTGAATGACGTAATCCTACTGCAAATATGCGCATCTGAAATCCCAAATTTGAAATTTGTTTTATTATCGATTTCATATTTTGTAAAACTTTAACGAATTTTTGAGTAACAAACTCAACGATTTAAAAACGAGCAATGGCAACACTCTGCAGGAAAAAAAAAACCTTTTTATCTCCAGCGCGTCGAACTGTGTATCGGAAATCCTAACGATATGCTCATTTTAAAATTATTTCGCGACATTGCTATTGAAATAAATTTTATGGTTTAAGTGCAAAGAACATGATATTTAAAAATAAAGGTAACTCACAAAACGTTAAAAAAATGCCTCTTTGGACGTAATTTAAAACCTGAAACATTTCAGATTTTTTAGTCCAAAGGGATTTCAGTCCCGAAGGACTATTGCTTTCGTTTTGGCATTTTGCGTCGGACTCATAAACGTCGGTTCACTTTTCAAACTGTTGCCACAAAATGTTAAGAGTCCTGCATTATATTTGAAGAAATTAAATAATGAAAAATCTGCATAAATGATTGTCTATTTCTCGCATTGTGATAAAACAATGGTACATAGA